GAAAATGGCTATCTGACCAAAGGCAATGTACAGATTCAGTGCAATCCTCAACAAAATTTCACACAATTCTTCACAGAAATTGAAAAAACAATCTTCAACTTTTTATGGAAACTCAAAAAGCCAAAATAGCTAAAGCAATCCTGAGTAATAAAATAGCTGCTGGAGGTATCACCGTTCCTGGTTTCAAGTTTTACTAAAGAGCTATAGCAATAAAAACAAAATGATATTGTCATAAAAACAGACCTATTGATAAAAGGAATTGAGTTGAAGACCCAGACATAAGTCCACACCACTATGGTCACCTGCTTTTTGACAAAGAAGCCAAGAAATACAGCCTATAGAAAAGTCAGCATCTTCAGCAAATGGTGCTGGTCAAATTGGATGGCTGCATAGAAAAATGCAAATAGATCCATATCTGCAACATTTCACAAAACTCAACTCCAAACAGACCAAGGGTCTCAACCTAAGACCAGATACTCTGGATCTGGTAGAAGAGAAACTGGAGACTAGTCTTGAACTCATTGGCACAGAAGACTTTCTGAATAGGATGCTGTCAGCACAGGCACTGGAAACAATTAAAAAAGGCACATCTCTAAGCTGAAAAGCTTCTGTATGCAAAGGACACCTGAGGTAAAGTGGCATCCTACAGAATGGAAGAAAAAGGTCTTCATTAATAATACATCGGACAGAGGATTAGGATCTGAAGTATATAAAGAGCTAAAAACCAAAGTTAAAACCAAAACCACCACCACCAACAAAGAGCTGAACATAAGAAAGCAAATATCCCAATTAAAATTGGGGTGTAGAGCTCAGCAAAGAGTTCTCAAAAGATGAAACATGAGTGGCTGAGAAACACTTAAAGAAATGCTCAACATCCTTAGTCATCAGGCAAATGCAAATCAAAACTGCCTTGGGATTTCCACTTACACCAATCAGAATGGCCAAGGTTAAAAAAAAAAAAAGCAATTACAACACATGCTGATGAAGACACAAGGAACGGGGAACACTTACTCATTGTTGGTAGGAGTGCAAACTTGTAAGGCCACTGTGAAAATCAGCATGGTGGTTCTCAGGAAGCTGGGACTAGATCTACCTCAAGATTCAGCTGTACTAACCTTGGGTATACACCCACAAGACTCTTCATCTTGCTACAGATATACATGCTCGTCCAAGAGATACATGTTCATTGCTGCTCTATTCATAACAGCCAGAAATTGGAAACAGCCTAGATTTCCATCAACTGATGAATGGATAATGAAAATAGGGTACAATTACACAATGGATTATTATTCAGCTGTTAAAAAATTTTGGAATTATGAAATTTGTAGGTAAATGGATGGAGCTAGAAAAAAATTATCCCGAGTGAGGTAACACAGACCCCAAAGGACAAATATTGTATGTTCTCTCTCTCTTTTTTTCCCAGAGACAGGGTTTCTCTGTGTAGCTTTTGTGCCTGTCCTGGATCTTACTCTGTAGACCAGGCTGGCCTCGAATTCACAGAGATCCGCCTGGCTCTGCCTCCCAAGTGCTGGGATTAAATACATGCGCCACTGCTGCCCAACCCTCTCTTTCTGTTTTTTGAGACACGGTTTCTCTGCGTAGCCCTGGCTGTCCTGGAACTAGCTTTGTAGAACAGGCTGGCCTCAAACTCACAGATATCTCCCTGCATAGTCTCCAGAGGACTGGGATTAAAGGTGTGGGTCCTGCTAGCATTTTCCCTCTTAATTGGTCTTTTGCTTGTTTGCTTAATTTTCATTTTTGGTGTTCTTTCATGTCTCTTGTTTTTTGTTTGTTTGAGAGAGAGAAAGAGAGAGAAAGAGAGCAGGAGAGCAAGAGAGAGAGAGAGAGAGAGAGAGAGAGAGAGAGAGAGAGAGAGAGAATATAACTTGGGTGGGTAGGGAGGATCTGGAAGGAATGTCAGAAAGGAAAAAACATTATTAAAATATATTTCACAAAAAACTTTTACCAAGTCTCTGTGAGATTAACAAATAGCCACTCAATATTTCATGTACCACTGCTAATAATAACAATGCTATCATATTCACTTCTATAACCATGGAAATTACTCTTCAGGTTTGAATTCAAGGACTCACTTGCCCAAAATTTGCAAAGTTAGTTTTGAATGCAGCCAAAAGTCTCCACTCAATTGGACAATTTAATGATTTTTTTTTGGGGGGGGAGGGTATTTGTGTTTTGAGGGAGTTGATTTGTCTTTTTAGCCTAAAGTCCATAGTTACAATTTTTCTTCCTTTAGTCTCACAACGAACACAGTATTCCATCTCCACACAATCTGTGAACTGCTTCACAGAACAGAGCTGTCATCATTTCATTTCACACTCATCCAATGGTAACACAAAGGGCTGTAATTGATGTGGTTGAGAGACCAACATCCAAGCAATAAAAATGAGTTCCGTATGATGGTCTCAGCAATGCAAACGGAGCCAGGGTCTGGGCTTAATGGGAGTGGAGAAATCGATCCCAGATGACTGTAGTGTTCACAGAGACAGTCTCTGGCTTTCCAGCTGAAACCATTTCTGATGGCAGCTCGTCTCCAACATGTGTTGTACAGACCCGGGTTATTTACGGGATGCCCCGGAGCAGCCAGGCTCCAGGTGTAACAGCAGGGCCTGCATGCGTGAAGGCTGAGGTCATGTAGTTATTCATTTCAAGCTGTAAAGACATTTGGTTTAAAGAGCCCACGAGACTCCACAGGGATTGGTTTTCAGAGAAGAAAAACAGCCCTGAGTTCTTTTCCTGTCCAGGCGGCAGTGGGCCCTTCCTGACATCACCAGCCCCCTCTTAACTCTTCGGGGCTGGTAAAGTTCCTAAGTCTTGTCACTTTCTCTTGGTGATTTTTTACTTTTGGAGGAAGATAGTGTAAGCACAATGATTTACAATGGGGCTGGGGCTGTAGCTCAGCTGGTAGAGTGCTTGCCTAGCATGCACAATGTTCTGTGTTCCATCCTCAGCACTGCATGAGCTTGAGTGTGCTGCTGGGTGCCTATAATCCGGGAGGCAGGAGGATCAGAAGTTCAGGGTCATCCTTGGTCACAAGTTTGAGGCCAGCCTGGGCTACGTAAAAGACTACCTCCAGCCAGGCATGGTGGTGTACACCTTTAGTCCCAGAACTCGGGATGCAGAGCTAGGTGGATCTCTGTGTTTGAGGCTAGTTTGGTCTACTTAGTGAGTTCCAGAACAGTCAGGGATGCATAGAGAGACCCTGTCTCACCCTTTTCACCCTCTTTCCCCCAAGGAAGGTCAATTCCCCAAAATAAAGTGATTTAATGTTAACTCAATGACAACTCCAGGCATGTATCCAAATCAGAAGGTACAAAGATCACTAAGAAGTCATGTGGGGACTCCGGAACAAACATGTGGGTCTCTGAAAGAGGCCTTCAGCTCAGGCTGACTCTGCAGACTTATCCCCATCTGTAAAGGGAAGGATGTCATGGTGGAGAAAGGTGCATACTCGTTTTTTAAGTCCCTCTCTAGCTCTGTTAAAGCCTGTGAACACATCTGCTGACATGTTATACGATTATCTCTAATCTGTGGACTCTCAGGAACAACTGTTTCTCATGGCAAGGACCAGTCCTGGGCACATGGGCTATTATATAATTTACTGCCTGTGGGGATAGATTGCTGTGAAAGTGATTCGAGTTCTAAGAAATGGTTCACACATGCATCCGTGTACCATTATCCAATGTGCATCACAGCCGAACAGCACTGGAAGGCAAAAGGGTAAAATGGTAATGTTTGGGTCCACCAGTGTCTGGAGATGGAGCTCAATGATAGAATGCTTGCTCAGCATGCATAAGGCCTTGGGTTTATTTCCCAGCACTGGAAACAACAAAAGAAAACAGAAGAAAAAACCCCAAACAATAACAACAGAAATTCTTAGAAGTTCTGTTAAGGTAGATGATTATGTTGGGGGCTGAGAAACAAATAGGTATGGGTCCTAGCTTCCTTTGTACAAAGACATCTGGGTTAACAACACATCCAAGAGGTAATGTGAGTCAAACGGTCATGATTCCTATAAGGGAACTCTTTCCAGTGTGTCATTCTCATTGAGCCAGCATTGAACATGCATAGCAAATGCAGAATCTAATATAGATATGCCTCAAACCAGTGCTACCATTCTACAAACTACAATTTAATAATAGAAAGCTTAGACATTGCAGAAAAAGTGGAAGAATGACATGTCGCTGGGTGAGAAGACACATTAGTTATGTTTTCTTCTTTTTGCTTATTTGTACTTTCAAAATTTCCTACCATGAATATTAAGTAATTATTTAGACTAGAAAAATATGTTGATCACATTTAACAACTAGATTATGAATATTAGAACGGGAAGGGGGGGTTTCTCACAGGGGCTTTTTGTGACCTCCCAGGTCAGATATCGCCAGCAAGACCCAGGAAACAATCTGATGGGCCGGCAATGGTGATGGTAGATTCTATTTTCCTTCTTTTCGCTGTGATCTGGACAATTTAACAAAACATTCCTCCACAAACAAGATGATTCTTAGTTTCTGGTACTGATATCAGGGCTCCACATGGAATTCCATTACTCTGTGCTTTAGAACATTCGGACTTGGCCCCAGCCCCTCCTCTCCTTCGTCAGAAAGTCATGTGAAGTTGGTGCTATTATCCCTTTAAATCCTCTTCCTCCCCTCCTCCCTTTCTTCCCTCTCTCCCTTCCCCTTCTTCCTCCCTCCACTCCCTCCTCGTCCTCGTCCTCTTCCTTCTTCAATTAGACATTTTCTTGCTGTGCAGCCCATCCTGGCCTGGAACTTCCTATGTAACCCAAGCTGGACTCAAATTTACAATCCTCCTGCCTCAGTCTCCTGACTGCTGGGATTACAAGCATGCACCACTGCACCTGGATAAAAAAAATATTTCTCTTATCTTTATTTTTCCTATCATTGAAAATAGACTTTTCCCTCATATATCCCGATTACAGTTTCCCCTCCCTCTACAAGCCCCCCCCCCCAAAGTTCCTCCTCACCTCACTTCCCATCTGGATCTATTCCATTTCTGTCTCTCATTAGAAAACAAACAGGCATCTAAGGGATAATAATAAAATAAAAGAGAACAAAAACTAACACATCTGAAAAGGACAAAACAAACCAATAGAAGGAAAAGAGCCCCATAAAAGGCACAAGAAACAGATACAGATGCAGAGACCCACTTGTCTGCACACTCAGGGATCCTATAAAAACATTAAACTGGAATCCATAATATATACTCAAAGGATCTGTAAGGAAAAAAAGAGAGGAAAAAAGCATAAGTAAAATAAAATAAAAATAAAAATAAATTAGCCAAACTTTAAAAAACAGTCCTGATACATAGAACCTCCAAACATGCCATTGGTTTCTTTTTTTTTTTTGCCCAAATTTCTATTTCTATTTCTAATACCCTTATCCTATGCTTTGTGTCCACTTAGCTCTGAGAGATAGATACACAATTCAGTTGTGTTTGAACCACACAGACGGCAACATGCTTAAGTGCCGGGAATCTCTAAGGATCCCAAAGTGAATGGAGGAACAGCTTGCCAAATGTGATGCATAAAGGGGAGATTTTTTGAACACCAGGGTTATATTTCTTGAGCAGGCAAATATGAAGAGGAAAGGCAAGAAATCATGGCTGCCACGGGTCACCTGGTCATGGGCCACCTGTTTGCATTTGCTCCTGGGTGGCTGAGGAAGAGTTGCTGCAGAGGTGGCTCCCAGAAGTGGTACTGATGCGCCTTGCTGCCTCCTCCACACAGACTAGGTTCCTTCATCCTTAGTGATGCCAGGAGAGAAGACAGGAAAAAAATTCATAAAGGATGGGCAGTGAACATACGGCTCAAGATCCTGTGAACACCCTATTAAGTTTCCCTCACATAAGCTCCCAGTGGGGTGACACTGGGGTTGGGTGGAGGGCTGAATCCTTGGACTCAGTGAAGTTTGAGTCTTTCCCACATTTTCAGGACCTTTGTCATTGTGTGTGTGTGTATGTGTGTGTGTGTGTGTGTGTGTGTGTGTGTGTGTGTGCATGCATGCGCGCATGCACGTGCGCATGTACAGGAGCACAGAGGACACACATGGGTTGGGGGTTGATTTGGGGGCTGGAGCTAGCCTGTCCTTAGCTGCTGGCCCCAGTGGGGCTCATTCATCTTGTACAGCTGTCAGTAGTGGGGGGTGGGGGCCGGGGGTGGGCAACAGGTGAAAGCAGGCCCAGCTCATTTTTCCCAGGAAGGCTTTAGCTATTCCATTCCACTGTCTGATGGCAGAGCAGACCTCCAGCTTCGATGGAATCACTGTGGGAGGCCAGCTCTCAGAGTAAGTGGTCTGGGAAAGCCATCTTCCTGCACCCAGCCCTTGATGATTGCCTGAGCCTGTGCCTGGAAAGCCGACTAGATCCCTGGAAGGTTCCTTGATAAACCAGGACAGGTTTTACAGTCTGCCTGGAAGTTTAGTCTGGAGTCCAGATAGCTGCAGGGTCAGAAGAGTGCATTTCCTCTTCAGGCATGAGCCCCCTTGTCATCCAGTGGGACAACTTCGAGCCCTGAGTGTTTCAAGTCCTGCTGTGTATCAACCACACCTTCCAAATCTTCTAGCTAGCTCTAGATAGTTGTGACCATGTCATCTACCTCCGCAATCCCTTCTGATGCTCAAGACTGATGTCTCATGAATATTAAGATTTGAAAAATAGTTGTAAATTTAGTTGTATTTAACTTTCACAGGGTAGCATCAAGCCTAGATTCTGAGATTCTGAAGACAAGGGTCCCCAACATGTGTGTGAGATTTATCTAAAGTGATACAGAAAGAGAAAGGCTTGAACACTGGGGACTATCCACCATGTGCAGGCACATAGACAGGAAGACATAAACAGGGTGGGGAGATAAACTGAGCACGCCCCTCCCCCGCTTTGTGTGTGTTTCTGTGTGTGTGCACCTGTATGCACGTGGAGGTGATTGGTTAATGTTGGATGTCTTCTATTGCTCTCCACCTTATTTTATGAGTCAGGGTCTCTCTCTGGTCTGAAGATTGTCAATTCATCTAGACTGGCTGGCCAGCCAGCCAAAGGGACTGCCTTTCTCTTCCTCCCCAGTGCTGGGGTTCCAGGTACATGGTCCCATGCCTGGCTTTTTAGGGGTGCCTGAGACTAAACTCAGGCACTCATGCTTGTACTGCAAGCATCTCACCAACTGAGCCATCTCCCCAGCTCTGGATAGATACTCCTTTAAAGCCCCAGTGAGGAGTCTAGTCCTCCACCATGGTTAGCGCTTGAATCATCAAATTGAAGAATGTCCTAAATGTTCCTCCCGACATTCTAAAGGACATGTTCTGGCTCTCTGTGACACAGAAGACTGTCACATGTCTCTCATCCCCGGGTGCCTACAAACTCTCCTCTCTTTGTTACTTTTGGGGAAAGAGAAGAATGGGGGGTAGGTATGAGGGTAAAAAGACACAAAACAGCAGCTAGGCAGTGTGGCACAATCTGGGACTGGCACACATTTTGGAGAAGGGGTACAGTTATAGAGGTACTATGACTTCAGATCTTGAGAAAGTAGGAAATTTTGCCATTTAAGTACGCTATCAGTTTAAGTAAAAAAAAAATGTCACTCCTATCCAAAGGCCTAGGATTGGCTGTAATAGAGAGCAGGCTTTGCCTTTGTGTGGGGATCCAGGATATAGCCAGGGCTCTCCAAAGGCAGGACACTGGGGAGTCCCACGCAGATGAACACCCAGGGACAAGATCCCGCCCCTGGGGAGTGAAGGTTTTTGTTCCCATTTCCTGGGGTTATTTTCTGTGGGGATGGCAGTACTCCAGCTCTGTCCTAGGTAGAGAAGGTGAGTAGACAGGACAATGTGCCCCAACCTCTACTTTGTCGGTGCCTCAGTTCCTGGCATCAGCTTCACTCTTCATGGAACCCCTTAAGAAGAGGCCGCTTCATCAGGCTGTTCATGACATGAACTGGGTCATTAGGCAGGTTTGGTGACCAGATTTTCTAGTACAGAGCTCTGGAGTTGACTTTTTCTCATTTGGTCTTTCCACTGTGGTCTACCTTACACTATATCTACACCAACCTTTGGAAAATTCCACTTCATCTGTCTTTAGCCCCATTCCCAAGCCTCAGACTGTACTCACAATCTGCACTACCTCATAGTATATGACTTGAGTCCTTGCCAGAACTTTTCAATGAATTGTGTGGTCTTCCTTACTTCTCATGGTCCCTCTGGGTCTACCCTCACATTTCTGCTCCCACTCTAATACACGACAAAGTGAGTTCCCTCAGCGCATGCTCCAGGTCTTGCATGAAGCCTTCTCGGAACAGCCTTGGCAGCTGGGATGTTCTTCCTGGAATCCTTGTAGTTGCTGCGCCTGTAGCAAAGCTCATTGCTTCTGGTTTATTCCACTTTATGCCTCTGAAGCTTTTACTTGTATACAGATGTTCCTTGACTTATGACAGGCTGATGCACCAATAAACTCACTGCAAATTGAAAATTTCATTAAGCTGAAATTGCATTGTGTGTGTGTGTGTGTGGTATGTGCAAGGCAGTGTGTGGGTTCATGTGCCTGTGTGTGTCCATGTAGAAACCAGAACAAGATGTTGGCCATCTTCCTTTACCATGCTCAACATTGTTGCCTTGAAACAAGGTTTCTCTCAGAACCAGAAGCTCCTCCTTTCAGCCAGACTGGGCGGGCTGTCCAGTGAGCTCCTAGGGTCTATCTATCCGTCTTTACCTCCTCCCCTGAATGCTGGAGTTAGAGGCCTGCACAGCCATGCCCAGCTTTCATGTAGGTGATGGAGATTTGAACTCAGGCTCTCATGCTTGCAACTCAAGAACTCTTACTGACTAAGCCATCTCTAGCCCCTTTAAATTACATTTAAAAATTGATTTGCATGTGTGTTTGTGCTTGTGTGGGTGTGGGTGCACACTTGTGTGTGGTGTATGTAGAGGCCAGAAGTCAACATCAGATGTTCAACATCAGTGTTCCTCGGGAGATGTCCAAGTTTCTATTTTTAACTTATTTAATTTTTTTAAAACGATTTTTAAAAATTAACATGCAAGGTATTAGATATCATTATGACATTTCTGAGCAAAGTGTGTTTTAATGAATTCTCCTTCCCCTCATTGTCCTCTGCTTGCTTCCCCCGACTTCTCCTTGTGGACACCCCTACCCCACCCCACTAGTTTCCTTGCGTTTCACATCTCATCTGTCTTTTTTGCCTACCCCTCATCCTTTTTTATCACTTATTTTTGCCCTCTTTTGATTTTCTTTCTAGTTTTAGGTTTTACTCAGTCACAGTGTATGCATGAATACTTTGCAGGCTAGGAGCCGCGTATGAGGGGGATATGATGCTTTTGACTCTCTGAGGTTGCACTGTCTCATTTATTATACTTTCCAGATCGTCCGCTGCCCTGCACATTTCATAATTTTGGTTTTCTTTAGAGATGAGTAAAATTCCCTTGTGTAGCTGCAGCACATTTTCATTACCCACTCATCTGCTGATGGGCTAATATGACAGCTCCATGTCCTGGTGTCACAACTAGAGAAGAGAGGATATGGGTGTGCAGGTATCTGTGTGGTCTGCTATGGAGTCCTGTGGGTAAATGGCCAAGAGTGGCATAGCTAGGTCACAGGTAACTCTATTTTTAACTTTTTAAATTCAAAATGCGCTGCAATTGCATTTGAAATATCTAATCCATTGACCACCACAGTTTAGAACATAGTACAGTATAGAATGTGAGTTACATACCACTTGATTGTGGGATTGACTGCGGGCTGCGGCTTGCTGGAGACTGTCATACCGCACTGAGCCAGCTTAGGAAATGATTAAAATTCAAAAAACAGAAGCATAGTTTCCATTGAACATGACCTCTACATCATCATAAAACTGTAAAACCACGAGCTGAATAAAAATGACTATCACTCAGTACTGATTCTTAACCATCCTAGTTTGTAAGCTGTGTATAATTTCAAACTCCATGTCAAGTTTGTATAACAAAATATAGGAACTGAAATAGTTTCTAATTTATCTAAGTGCTCATATATTTTAGAGAGGTTCTTTGTAGGGTTCTATACGCTATACTTTTGTTTCAATTGTTGACCATAAAATTGGTAATATTTTTATTATTATTTTAAATAATAATATTAATATTATTATTTTGCTATTAATAAAGCCTTGTCTTGGCCCTAGAGAGATGACTCAGTGGTTAAGAGCACATGCTGCTCTTGCAGCGGATCTGAGTTCTGTTCCCAGCATTCACATCTGGAAGCTTACAATTTCCAGTAACTCCAGCTTCAGGGGATCTAGTGCTCTCTTTTGGCATTGGTGGGCACTTACACAAATGTACACACACACAAACACACACACACACACACACACACACACAAACATACACCCACACACAAAGAGAGAAACACATGAATAAAAATTTAAAAACTATAAAAAACTTAAAGAGAATCTTTTTAGTTAGACTTGATCATTATTAATATTATTTTACAAAGAAAGGATCCACATACTTTTATTTAAAAAAAAGAATAAAGAATTATAAGTCAGCTACCACCGGCTAGTGACCATCTGTCTTCTATCCAACAAGACCATCCATTTTGGTTAGTGATGATGTCACACACGTGAAGCTTCAGGCATGCACATAGTAGTTTCTCAACAGATGTAAGCTGAGTCTGGATCACTTCTACAAATAGCAGCTCTAGGGTTGGGACACAAGCCACTGAAACCTTGATGGGTATTTCCTATTTGCATACAGGATGTTCTGAGGGCACAGTGACAACAGGAAGGCATTTGAATTTAGTGATGAAAGAGGGCTCAAGAGGGTAACCTCCTATCTCAGGGTGTGGACTTGTGCCCAATGAGTTGGGGACAAACAGGAGTCTTGGACATTGACTCACCTGGAGCTACAGATAGGATCTCAGGGCACGGGGTCTGGGCAGTAGGAACTACTGCAGATGATAGATTGGAGAAGACAGAACCTTTGAACCTGGCTTTGCAAAGAACACTAGGGCGAGGAAACTTGGAAAATCCCCAGCAGCGCTGGGTAGTTGGCACTGCCACAGTATTTAGCTGATGGGAAGATACCACCCACCTGCACTATGGACGTGAGTGGATCGATCCTTCTAGACAACTAGTGCCTGGTTCCTCCTGCTTCCCTCAGACACACCTTAGTCCCACCTGGGTGGTAAAAACTGTCCGCCTGGACAGTCGGATCAGCTGCTTCCAACAAGTCACTCCTCAGCTACCTCTCTCCCTAGCCAACCCTCAAGTTGCTGGCATGTCCCCAGGCTTCTTAGAGCCAAGAAAGCTCCCAAATAGAGGCTTTCTGCTCTGGCTAAAAGCCTCCCATAAAATTCCACCCCTTCAGCCATTTGCTTGTCTGTGCTGTTTCCCCATCTTGTATTCTTACCTCTAGTTAAATCAGTTTTGTCCCGAGCCTACTGTCTTCATCAGCTCCCTGCACCAAGAGCCTCTGATGGTCACCAAGAAAGCATGTGGGAATCTTTGTGGCTGCCCAATAAACTGGCTTCAAAATAGCTTTGCTTAACTCCCCTGGGGACGCTCAGTCTCCTTGTCTCCTGTTCCCCCAATACGTTGCTGCACTGACTGACCCAGCTGTGCCTGGGAAGAGACTGTCACTCAGTGACTTGAAGTTCATGCTTATTTTTAGGCAGTCCCTCATCTTGGGTAGCTACCTTCCTCAGTGCCCCAGTTCACCTCCTAGACTGCAGGAGATGTCTGTCCTCTGGAATTCTTTCCTTCCTTCCTCCCTACCCCTTTTCATCTGGATTTTTGAGATAGGGTCTCTCTATATACCCTAGGCTAGCTTTAATTAGTAGTCCTCTTGCCTCAGCTTCCTAAATGCTGGTATTACAGATGTGTGCCACTATTCCTAGAGGCCCACCCTCCCACCTCTCCTTCTCCCTCTCAACAGCCTCCCACCCCTTTCCTGCCTTCTAGAGCAGGGATCAAACCCAGGACCTTGTGCATGTTGAGCAAATGCTTGCCATGGAGCTCGAAATGCCAAGAGGTTCTCATCCCCAGAGTTGTGCAAATTTCTCTTTAGTTCCTGGTAATTGCCCTTATTTTCCCTCACCTTGCATGGGTGACTGCAGTTGACAGTAACACGTTAAGTGGGAAGTACATGTTAAAGAGAAAAGTACTTACTGAAGTGAGAAAGAGTGGATGCTGTACGGTCAATCACTTCTCTGGTTCTCAGTTTTTCTATCTGTATAATGGGCATAGGAAGCCTCCACCGTGCATTGGTTACTTCTCTCACTATAATGACAGAACACTTGGCAAAAGTGATTTAAGGGAGGAAGGCTTCATCTCAGCGCATGGTTCAAGGGAATAGAGTTCATCTTGGTGGGGAAGGCCTGAAAGCAGGTTGAGCTTAGTCTGTGACGGCAGGAGATGAGGAAGCAGAGGGTGTAAGCCAGAAGTCGAAGTGGAAATCATCAAGGCTGACGACCAGCTAGGCCACAGTGTTAAAGGCTGCACAACCCGCCAAAACAGTGCTCTCTGCTGGGGACCAAAGGTTCGGACACATGAAGCTGTGGGGACATTTCACATCCCAATCACCCCACACCTGGAATGGAGCAGTGCTCAAACAAAGGGGGGGGGGTGTTTTCTTCACCCTCAAAATGTGCTACCGTTTCCAGGGAATGATTTAGATGGAGACAGTGCTACCACAAGGAAGCAGCCTGCTAGCTTAGCTCCTTGCCTCCTCATTTCCCTGGGGGTAGACAGACCTCAGCCTCACCTGCCAGCCTTGGAGAGGCAACCAAGGCATTTCTAGTTAGAGGGTTTCTGACTGTCATAACCTTAAGCGAGGGCCTTGTTCTAGTTAACCCAGAGAACCTCTCAAAGCAAAACGTCCAATGTGGACGCTAGAGCCTGCTTACCCAATGGGATTGAGGAGAGAACAGAAGGTAGCCCGGCTGGAGAGCTGAGCCCCCTTGCCAACCTGCATGGCATAAAGCATGAGACATTCCCAAGGACAGCAGCTAGAGCCTCTTGGAGGTCCTCCTGGCTCCCCTTCTGTCTGTCTCCAGCGTGCATGGAGGTAAGGGTCAGACCAAATGGCTGAGGCAGCAGCTTGGAGCCCGCCAGCCCCGTGCCAGCCAGCTATTGTTCCCCTCCAGCTCAGCCTCTCCAGGTCAGGACACTGACAAAAGAGACAGGGCCACTCCCTAAGCAAGCTCTGGCAGGGATCTTAGGGGCGAGGGGGGGGGGGGGGGGCCTTGCAGACAGCAGCCCGCCTTTCATGTGCAGAGCTGGGGGCTGGAAGAAACATGTTCTGTGCCTGCTGCCAAGTTTCCTCAGAAAACAATGCGGGAGAAGACGGTGTTTTGCAGTCTGGGAAACTGAAAAGGGTGTGGTGGATACAGGTCCAGGGGAGGTCATGCACACTGTTGCAGGGAAGGCACTCCCCCCCCCCTCGCAAAGCGAGCAGACATCCTGAGGTGTTGGCTCCTGTCAGGGTGCTGGAGTGGCTGCCGTTGGTTGTTTCCAAAGCATTTGAGCAGATTGTAGGGAGCAGGTACTCCAGGAGGGAGAAGCTGATTCCTCCTGCCCAGTTAGTGTCTTAAGGTAAATGAGATTTGGAGCATTGCTACTGTGAACAGCTAACAGCATCATAATGCATTTGTTGATTGCCTCCAGTATCTATCACAAAATGCTCCACGAAAAAGTTACCTCTGCCTTCTGGAAGGGTCTATTCTGTCCGGAAAACACCAATGAACACAGCAGAGTCAAAGGCAGCACAGCGGGTTCAGACTGTACACTTTGGTTATTGCTGTCTCCTTCCAGATGTGGCTACTTATAGCTATGCATTTGTGCCTCGGTTTCCCCTTCTGAAAATGTGGAGGAAGAGCATAACAACATGCATTTATGGAACTGGTGTGAAAGCTTAAATGAGGCGTCGTTTGCAAAGCCATTAGGACAGCATCTAGTGTCCTATGCTTTGGAGTTCGTAAGATGAATGGCCTGTAAGAAGAACTAAAGATGTCAGGGCAAATGGGAAGAAAGCACACTCAAGTTTTAGGACCAGGTCTGGCAGTTTTCCAGTGTGGGTTTTGACTTTTTTGTTTTGTTTTGTGCTGGTTGCTCCAAATTTGAGTTTGTGAGAAAAGCAAGTGAGAAAGGATGTGCTTCTGCAATGTAGAAAATACTACAAAGTTGGATGTGAGTGTGTGTGTGTGTGTGCCTGTGCATGTGTGTGTGCATGCATGTGCATATGTGTGTGCTCGTGCATGTGCATATGCATATGTGTGTGTGCTTGTGCATGTGCATGTGCATGTGTGGGGTTGCAGGAGTGCACATGTATGCCAGTGTGGTTCTTCACATGTGTTCATGTTTGTGGAGGTTAGAAGACAATCTCAGGAGTCATTCCTCAAGTCCTTCCATCTTTTGTTTGAGACAAGGGTCTTTGGTCTGGAACATCATCATGTAGGCTAGACTAACTGGCCTCCAGGGACTTGCTTGTCTCCATTTCCCACCTCGCAGTTCCTGAGATTACACACACACACCATTGTGCCTTCTTCTTCTTCTTCTTTTTTTTTTTTTGTTGTTGTTGTTCGGGGTTCTGGGGATTGAGCTGACATTCTCATGCTTGTCACCACTTAACTGATGTACTCTATCTTCCCAGCCCCCTCCAAAGCCTCTAAAGGCTCCCATCTCCTGCCGGGAGCTTATTTCCTGGACAGTGACTTTGCTCTTACAAACAGTGATACAAGACTGTTCTCAGTTGAGAGGAGGTGGATGGTGCAGGTTCTTGGCTTTCCTGCCATTAAAATCACTGTGCTTATTGAGGAGACTGATTTTGGTTGAGATCAGAGCATGATGATGTATTGGGCTATAAACAAATTGAGGGTTTGAACCAAAGCAAGGTTTTTCTTCTCTGGACAAATAGACATTTATAGAATGCTCCATCTTCACAGGGTAACAGCCTTTCTGCTCCTTCCCAAACCCACTGGGAAGAAAAGAAAGTGTAGCTAAGGGAGAAAGTAGTGATGCTTAATTCTCAAAGCTCCACAAAGCTCTAGGTATGGAAGGTGTGTTTTCCTAGTGGCCACAAGTTCTTAGACAACAGTCTTTGAAGTCCAGCCAGTACAGGGACAGACCTCTCACTAGGAACCTCCAGGTCTCAGGGACAACATAAAAGCACCTGTAGTTCAAGCCATGCTGGGGAGGGGGTGATTGGCTCTTCTCATCCCTCTCTCAGGAGCGGATCAGCACAACCTGACGACAGGGAGTGAATGGGGTTAGTGCTTGGCAGCAGACACCTGTAATCCTGGGTCCTGGCAGCTCTAATGAGTTAGACTCATCCACCTGTCCTCAACAGGCCAATTAAAGAGATAAGTCATAAGAATTGTGGAGAAAAGAGATTTTTTTCCTAATGTAGCATGTTGGAAAGGGGAACAAAGCGGTCCAATGGCCCTCAAGTCCATCTTTGGGATACTTTCATGAGGTTGAGGTTTAAACAGATGATAAGAGGTATGCATAGTCATTGGTCATTGATCCTGGTCATTGAACCACCATTGTTTGAGATGCAATCTATCCTACAGGATGCAGGTTGTAAAAACTGAGTGAAATCTCCTTCCAGGAGATAAGCTCCCCACCAGCTGGAGCTATAGTTCAGCCTTTTCCTTCTTCCAGCATGAGATGCTGGAGAAATTCCAATTTCTTGTGGTCCATTATTTTAAGAGTCTCATGGCCAAAGGGAAGGACACAATGTCTCTTTAGAGTATCTTTATTCCTGCCAGGATGGTTACTATCCCAACACTCAAGTAGAAGGATGGAGAGTTCAAGGCCAGCCTAGGCAATATAATGAGTTTCTGGCTAGCCTGGACTAGAGATCAACTCAGAATTGAGACCTGAGTGTATTGAGATTGGCCAGAGATTAGAGCCCTCCAGGCAAAACATTTCTCCATCTTTTGAAAGCATACACAAATCACTAAACTAAAGAAACATCACCAAACATTTACTTCCTCTTTTAAGGCTTTTCTTTGCATAACTTAACCCACTCAGTTCTAACCAAAACTCTAGGAGGGAGGTAGCCTTATTATCTCCATTGTGTAGATGAGGCAAACAACACCCACAGAGAGGTTAAGTAACTTCCTCAAAGACACACACCTATTTCCTAGAACTAGGCTCTGAACCTAGGTAGTTTGGTTTTAGAACTCATCTTTAATGGCATTGATGAGATTCTGAGACATGTTGATATGCATTTTAAATACAGTACTCGAACCTAGTTCAAATTGCATTTGGCCAGCTTAACTTTTAAGACATGTACACTTGGGGGTGGGGGTTCTCAGCTCCTAGGCAAAATAGGAAGGGTGCAAATAATAATTAACCAAGAACACAGGAGTATTCCAGTTGTATCTGCTTCCCAAGCCGTGAGATCCCTACTAACTTGTATTCACTTAAGATATTTTCCACTCAGACAGGTTTCCTTATGTTTTTCTTGAACTGATGAGTCTCAGTCCATTTTCC